CAGGATCCGAACCCGGGCCGCCAGTAGCAGAGCGCGCGCGCTTAACCGCTAAGCCACGGGGCCGGCCCCTATGTGTGTTTGTTTATTTTCTTCCTGGAACATATTAGGCACTCAATGAATATTTGAATGAATATTGAATAAATGAGTATCAAACATGCGCATGCTCTGTGAAGTCACCCAACCTCTTAGGGTCCCATGATATGGGTTAAGCAATGAGCTTTTCTGGGAAAACAGGAGAAGGTCCACACAGCAGAGTACACCAGGGCCAGGTGCTGTGGTTATGGCAGCTTTTCCTTCTCATAGGGAAGGCATGAGGGTAATCAGGTTAGTGGGGCAAGTAGGCTACTTGAGCGTGACGAAGTCTGGGAGTAGATGCGGGTTGTTTAGAGGAGTTGTCTGGAAAAGTCATCCGCCCTGTACCTGGTGACTTTGGGGCCCATAGGAAACTACTGTCCTCATCACCGGGAGGAGAGAGCTACTGTTTTGTGGGAGGCTGAGTTTGACTGCAGCCCCTTCCTGCTGGGGGAAAGGGGGGTCCTGGTTCCAAATACGTTGTCTGGGCAATCCAGAGTGAGGTCTGAGGTTACTTTCAGACAGTTCTGCTTAGCACACCACAGTTAACAAGGCAGTTCCTGTGAGGTGGGGGATATCTCTTTTTTTACCACACTATTCTCAGATGTATCCATCTGTACTTGTGCATGGAAGGTTAGGTGGATGCCTTCTCACCTCATATTCCCTGTCACACAACAGCTAACAGCACAGACACTGCTCTGCTGTGAGCTGCATAGTGAAGACCAAGAATGTGATCTGGGATAGCAGCTGGCCCTAGATTAAGGGAGGAATAGTTGGTCAGATAGGACTTATATTGGCTGAGATCATAGCTTGTCTCAGGCTAAAAATATAGGCAGATTGAGTAGGGTAGAGTTTATAAAAGAAACCTATATGGTCATAAATAAAGAGCTGGGATCCAAGATGAGAGCCTGACATACTCAGCCATCAGGGCAGATCTTAGCTCTGAAGGCAGGTTGAAAGCCCTGGCCCACACCACTATAAAGGATTGGTGATGGGAGCTCCAGCTGGAACAAAGAGCTTCTTTGTGTCTGTGATTGGAATCTTCAAACAGATCCCCTATGTGAGAATCCCCAAAATCTTGCTCCTAGATGTCAGTGTCATACCTTGTTTGAATTCTGAAAAAGATACCACAGAGATTTCTGGATATAAAATACTTTCTTGACTTCATGACAGGGATAGGAGGGGGAGTATGATAATATGATGACTTGATATGAACCTAGGTGATGCTTAACTATGTTACTTAATTTTGACAGAGTTGATCAAGGCCATGAAATGTTCTCTAGTCAAAGGAATTCTGTGATTAATTCTTTTTATTTAATTAATTACCCCTAAATGTATGTTTTTGAAAATGGAGGGATTTTTATCTGCATGACTCACACTCTGTCTCCTTCTCTCATTCAATATATGTGGATTTTAAGTTAGACAAGTAAAGTCATCCAAAATAAATTGGTAATTTTTTTTGTTAAGAGATTCATATAAAATTTCTGATATGATATAAAAATATGTATTTTTGTGTTTATTAATGTATCTGTTTCAATATCTATATTTATATTGTTTGTAACTTTTATATATACCATATTTCAGAATTTCACTATAATCACTCTGCCATAGGTTTCTAAGTTGAATCTTTTCTTTCTTTTTTTTCTTAAATACCATCCAGAAAACAGCATGACTACTCCACATCACTTTAAGTAGTACTGTTTTCTGAATGGTGAAAAAAAATAGAGCTTAAGACTGCATGGCTTGATGTCTGTGGGCTTTGTCCTACACTGTGAATTCTCAGTAGTTGAAATATCATAGTCCAATATCTCAGAATATTTTCCAGAGGAGAGGAGGGCTTGAATTATAGTTCTTTTTCAGTAGTCTTTCATTGAGAATTGCAAAGAAGAGCTATAAAAAAATTGTATTATGTAATATTAAGCCTTAAATGAGTTCCTCTGTAGGTTCAATGAAATTTCATTATAACACGGTTTCAGCTTGAACTTGAACTGGGTGGCATGGATCAGAAAGATAATTCACAGCAAGATCCCAGTACGTTTCATTTATCTGTATATTAATCATTGGGGACAGGCATGTATACTTATTTTTCTTTTTGGTACTCAACAAAGATCAGTAAGTGATAGTTACAAGAAACATTTTTCAGGGCTGGCTAGGTGGCGTAGCGGTAAAGTGCACGTGCTCTGCTGCGGTGGCCCGGGGTTCGGATCCCGGGTGTGCACCGATGCACCACTTGTCAAGCCATGCTGTGGCAGCGTCCCATATAAAGTGGAGGAAGATGGGCACGGATGTTAGCCCAGGGCCAGTCTTCCTCAGCAAAAAGAGGAGGATTGGCAGATGTTAGCTCAGGGCTGATCTTCCTCACAAAAAAAAAAAAAAGAAACATTTTTCACTTGGTGATAATTTACAGAACTTTTCTGAGGGCCAAGATGAAGATTTTATGGAAGAAGTCATTTTTCCAGATTTACTTGAAGTAAAAGCTGCTGAATATGAAGATGATCAAGAACAAATCAAAAAACAACAGGCAAATATTTTTGTGCCAAGTAGTTCTCCAGGTAAAGTTTTTTTTTTAAATAAAACATTCAAGTCATTAATGAATCATATTATAGAGTAATAGCTTCTTTGTAAGCAGGATAGATAAAGAGTACTGACCTAAAATTATAGAAACATTTCTGTATTTTTTCTTCATGCCTCCTCTGAGTTTAAGGGAATTGGTTAAAAGAACTCATTCATTGCATATGTATATATAGACTTTCTGCTAGACTTTAGTGGTAGGGTTTATGATAATTCCCTTTTGCTTCTTGTTTGGTCAATAGCGTTTCAAATTTTGGACTTTAAAGTAATATATAATTTTGTTATTAAGTGGTCAACCAGCGTAAACTGCCGAAAGATATGATGCCACGCATTTTAGAAGATGAAGGATTCTATATTCAGAGAAAGCCAGAAATATATAAAAAGACCTGCAACAAAATGGAAAATCGTCTGCTTAAACTAGAAGAGGCAAGTGCACCAAGCTAAACCACTCACTGATAGTATATGACATTTGTTTTTAGTAAAATATTTAATATGTTTCTTAAATATTTTTGATAGGGAAAGTGTTGGTTTGAAGAAAGTGGAGAAATAATGTCATTACCTTCGCCTATTAGACAGTCATGGAATTTTAGAGTCAACGTAAGCGAGGAATCTTTAAATCCAGCACTAAAGACCATTTATAGGAAGGTAACCAACAACAGTTTATTTGTAATTATGCTTAGAATTCTTGTGATATCAATTATAACTTATGTTTTTGTGATGTTAATTTGCTCTTTAAAAATATTAGTACGTCTACAGGGCCAGCCTGGTGGAGTAGTGGTTATGTTCGCACGCTGCAATTCAGCAGCCCGGGGTTTGCGGGTTCAGATCCTGAGCACAGACCTACACACCACTCATCAAGCCACACAGCATCCCACATACAAAATAGAGGAAGATTGGCACAGATAATAGCTCAGTGACAACCTTCCTCAAGCAAAAAGAGGAAGATTGGCAACAAATGTTAGCTCAGGGCCAATCTTCCTCACACACACACACACAAAATTAGTGTGTCTAGTAATGGCAAAACTATGATGAAATGTTAAATAGCCATTAAATTATGCTTTTAAGGAAGATTTAATGGTATGGGGAAATGCTCAAAATAAAATGTGAGGTGAAAAAAGCAGAATGTAAAATTATATATGATCTTGATTTTATAAAAATAGATAGTTATAAAAATAGATAGTGAATGAATGAATTTATCAATGAATGGATAAGTACATACATATACGTGTATATAGATAAATATATCTATCTGAAAAATATATCAAAGTTAATAATTATCTCTGGATAGTAGGACATAGGATTGATTTTATTTTCTTCTTTATACTCTTGTCTATCTAAACTTCAAAAATGAATATATATTATACTTATAATCAAAGAAACAAATTTTGTATGTATTCCAAAAGACATTATGAAAATTAGCAGTCCATTAACCTAATGAGAAGAAATATTTAGACAGAAATAGTTATATTATAAAATTGGCTTGAAAAACTTTAAATCAGAACTATGTACGAAAACTTAATTGCCCATTCACTTGCCTTAACCATTCTATATAAAGGAAATATGGCTGTAAGTAGATACAAAGTGGAAATAAATGGACAAAATAAAAAAATAAAAATAAAAGAACAAAAGAGGAAGGAGGGAAATCCTTGGTATTTATCTTATCTTGTTCTTTGCTGTTACATAGCATAACTTTTACACTTTACGGTGACGTTTTCTTTTTTTTTTTCTTTGTTTGCTTATTGTAAATTTTTCTTAAGATATAGCACAGATATTTGAACACAATTATCTGAGACCGTTGCTCTTAGGGAGAGAGGTCTTTGAAACAATGGCAGTTTGTTAAATGAATGAGTGGTTGATAACAAGTAAATGCCAAATATACAAGTCTTGGAGAAATATTAACCGCCATCCAGATTAACCTTTGTAACCATCCAGAATCCCAAATCAGGAACCACTGGGCTAAACAAGTAACTTTTTCCTTCAGTGCATCTGTTCTAGCTTCATACAAGCACAATTTTAGTATTTCATGGACTCTTAGAGTTGGGAATAAATGTAAATGTCACTTTACCAAGCATCTAAACTGAGTATTAGAATTCATCCTGTAGAATTCTTAGCAGGTATTTAAGAATTTGTGTCAGACAAATGCCTCTGCCTGCCTTTCCCTTCTGATCTTCTCCACATTTTTTACTCTGCCCTCCCAGCCTTGGAGGCAAGGCTCATCTGGGGTTTCTCACAGAATAAAAGAAATAGAGGGGAAACTGAACAGAGACAATAGCTGCTGAGTAACAAGGTCCTCTCTTTGCTGTTGTCTCTGCCAGGTACTTTAATACCCTATTGTACTTCTACTACCCGGGTGTTATTTGCTGACTAGTTTTGCCTGTCCATTTGACTATGCCCTTTACTCTACTCCCTCTTCTGGCACTCCTCTCTTATATATTTACCTCGATTTAACACATGTCATCAGCTTGGATGTTTTTGTGCTTTTGTCTGGACTTTGATTCATTGTTGCCTAGATCTTTGTGTTTTTGGTCTAACACACTTAGCTAGTTCTAAAAGTTCACTTAATGCCTCCAGTCAACTGCTGCTTATAACCTGTGTCAGGGAGCTTACCACCTCCTGAGAGAATTCATTCCAGTATTAACCAGTTCTAATTGTTTATTGTTTTCTGTGTTGAATTAAAATCTACCTCCTGGATCACTACTATTCATTTGACCATAAAAGAACTCATAAAGTACTTCACTTATGTGACAGCTCTTCAAATATTTGAAGCCTACTGTCACTTCCACCTTTAGCTTTTACTCTCCAGTCTAAACTCACTTCGTTTGACTGTTGTTGGATATTCCACCATCTCAGTTACCCTCCTCTAGCTCCTGAGCACCACAATCGGTAGGTACTGAATAGGACAGGACCAAGGGCAGAGGCTCGTGTCACTCCAACAGAAACCCAAAGCAAGTAAGAACACAGTTATTTGACCAGTGCTGAAAATCTGCTTAATAAGACAGGCATCTTTAGCTTAGCAACTTTATTTTCCAAAAGTTCATTTATAATTTGGTTGTTTAAAACTGAAACTGTCTATTTCCTTGGTGTTTTTTTCTGGTTAATGACCAACTTATTACCAATTAACTAAATCTTATAGGTAGAATCAAGAGCAGGTTCCCCCCCTTGAGTTGGTTATTACGTAGAGAATAGAGACTTACAAGATAGGGATAAAACAAAAACAAGCTTTATGGCTGTTCTCTGGCTTTCCCTCAACCCAATAGGGAAAAGAGGAGGATTCCTAGCTCAGGAAAGGGTAGAGAGGGAGAGATGTAGGCATCATGCTGGTGACCTACAGTCCTTGAGAAGCACTGGATCTGCCACACCAGGTCAGGGGTGGGATAGCAACTTTTTCAGTGTAATAGCAGGTGTAATAGCAATGGCACAGACTGGAGGCCATGTTCTGTTACACTAGGCTGATCCAGAGAGAGGGCTCACGCTGTCCTTTTTAGGTGGATGCAGTCATAGCTCTAGGAGAGTGGCTAGGCATTCATGAATTAGGCTGTACGTGCTAAATAATCCACTAACCCTCTCAAGTTACATCACTAAAAACCAGTCACCTGCATATTCAAACATATGTGCTTAAATTCAAAGTAGTGTACTAAAACATAGTTGAATCACTTTGTATATAATTTAAGGTCTACAGATGTCAACTAATCTGGCATCCAAATGGAGACAGTCTCATATATAAAGAAAGATGATATCCTTATAAGTTAGCCTTTGCTTAGAGGGTCCAAACCCCTCTATGGAATTTTCCAGGGGATTACCAACATATTCACTTAGGAACAATGTTTTCGTAAGAGTATGCCATTTAACTCTGGCCCACAAATGACTATTAGATCATCGTGTAGTCAATCCATTTACCCAACAATTCTAAATACCAATTACCATAGTATTTTTATAGGAAATTATTTTGGGGTTTATAACTTGAAAGTCTAACCTCTACCAACACACAATAGTAAGATAGATGACAATAATTTATAGCAAGATGATTAAAATGCTGTAATATAAATATAGTTTATGAAATCAAGGGCCATAATCAGTTTCAAGGAAGAAGGATCAAATTATTGTTTTTTGTTTTTTTTGTATCTCTTAATTTTCTTATAATTAACATGTTACTTTTATAAGGAGTTACTTGTAATTTCAAAATAAATAGAATCAAATTAACATTGTATACATATTTTTCTTTAAAAGGCAGTGAAATCTGATCTAGAAAGCTCTATTGGGAATAAAATGGAAGGTCAAAGGGAAATGTATCAATTAGATCTCAACATCGTGGGTTTGCAATTCAGCCATCATGCTCTCTTCAATCAAGAACAAGTATTATGTGCTAGGCTGCTTCAGCTTTATGAGTGTTTTCAGGACAGGCAGCAACAGAATTTACCTCAGCTGCTTTATGAGAAGGTGAGAATGGCTTTCAGTATTTTTATGGAGCTGAACCTTTAGCGTTGAAAGAGAAAACAAAGTTCTTAATACAGGGCAAATTATCATGGAACATTTTCTCTTAGCACTTTAAATATTTAACCAATTAGAACAATGGTTGATTTCAGTTTTTCTGAAGAGAAACTGTAGGAGTTGACTGGCCAGGGAGGCAACCTCAAACATCCTGCAGAATATTTAGCACTTATAAATGGTTTACTAATCAGTGGTATTCTTGGTCCTATGACTCAAGAAGAAGATTTGAGATAATTAACATTTAAAAGAGCTGTATGGCTGTTTTAAGTTTTGTAATAAAGTATTTTTGATAAAGATATTAGAGATCTTGAATCTCATATCAAATTTGAAGAGTTTTGTTCTGAAAATGATTAATCCAAATAGTCATCTAATGACATCATAAAGAGTATTTAGAGTCCGAAGAGAAATAAAAGAGGTACCCACTGATTATTTTTATGAATTTGCACCTCTCATTTAAACTGTCTGAGTTTCTGATACATGAGCATTTTGTTAACTAGTGTTTTCTCTGAAAAGGTATTTTGATAGGTCTTGTTCAGTTAATGAATATATTTGAAAAATAAATACTTAGTGAGGTGTTTATTTCCAATAAGTTGGAAATGAACTGTACCTTAATATACCTGCTTTTTAAAATACAAGTGCAAAAACCACAGGACTTAATCCATTTGATTGAATTTTCATGTAGCAACTGTGTGGGAGAACTTAATAGATGAAGATCATGCATTAATAATGTCAGAATATTTCCTAAAACAAATATAGAATATTTGAACTTTTAGTATAATATGGCCATTGTTTGTATGAATGGAGGAACCAACTCTGAAATTAAGATGTAGGTCATTGAAAAGGTGATTTCATTTATAGATATCTACTTTATAATTTTCCATCAGTATTGTATAATCTTTAAAGTCTGATCTAGCAATGTCAATTTTGTTTCATGAGAGTACTATCACTGCACAGAAAGACTCTACATTTATTTTTCATGTAGCATGACTCTCTATATAAAATAGCATTTTGGGATCATTATTTGCAACATTTTTATTATTATTATTATTGATTCTTAGAAGCCAAAAGTAATTTCTTAGTTGATTTTTACTTTTCTTCAGTTTATTCTCTGATGTGCATATAAACATTTTCTGCAGTCCTCTGGTAAATTGTAAAAAGAGAAATTTGGTAGGTCATGTGCACGCCCTTCTCTTCTGAAAGAGGAGAAGAGCAGTGGGGAGGAGGAGGAAAGGCCAAGAGTTGCAGGATGTATCCGTTGGTTTCCTACCGAAATACTGATTTATAGTTTATGTACAGTTTTAGTCCCTTGGTGTGAAATGTATGGCTCTGCTTGTTCCCAGTGTGTTCAAACCAAGTTCAGAGTAGTAAAAGACTCACTGGTATCCAAGGAATTCTTAAACTGGAATATGTTCCTTTATATCAGTATGAATCCCACTTAAAGAACAAGGAGAAATGTTGCAGACAATGTGAGAGAGTAGAAAGGATTCTCAGCTATGCAGACTTCTGCTATTTTTCCCACTAGCTTTTCTTTTTAATTACATGTGTAATACATGAGAATACATTCTCATTGGAAAAGATTCAGCATAGAAGTTTCAAAAGTGTGAAAGCCCCACTTCATTCTTCACCTCATGGTTTGGGGTACAACCTTAAAGTTCTCTTTTCTATGTATCTCTGTATATACATATGCCATGATAGTTTTTAACATAAATTGGATCTTCCCATATGTATTATTTGGCAACTTGGTTTTTTAAAATTCTGTATCTTGGAGCTTTTTTCATATCACTATACATAGACCCATAATACACCTGTATTTTAATATGTTTAATATGTTTAATCACTCCCCATTCGTGACACTTAGGTCATTTCCATTTTTTTATGATTACAAATAATAAAGCAGTGAACATCCTTGTATCTATATATTTGAGCATACATGTGAAAATTTTTGTAGGCTAGATTCCTAGAAGTGAAATTTCTTGGTCAAGGGTAAGGATGCATGAAGTTTAAATTTAATTAGATAGTGATGAATTGCCTTTCCAAAAAAGTTTTTCCAATTTAAATTTCCACTGGCAGTATAGGACAGCCCACTTCCCAGAGTCCTTACCAATAGTTGATATTATTTGCCCATTTTTCTGTTGCTTTGTATATCTTTAACTAATTATAAGAGTTTAAAGTATGTATAAATATATATTCTGGATGTAAGTCTCTAAAAGTTATACGGTCATGAGTCGCTTAATGACAGGGATACATTCTGAGAAATGCGTCATTATGTGATTTCATTGTTGTGTGAACATCATAGAGTATACTTACACAAACCTAGATGGTATAGCCTATTATATACCTAGGCTATATGGTACTAATCTATGGGACCACTGTCGTATATGTGATCCATCATTGACAGAAACATTATTATGTGGCGTATGACTGTATATCTTTTGAATATGTCTTATATATTTTTGTTCTACTCTGTTACTTGCTTTTTTACTTCATTTTTCATATCTCTTGGCAGACATTTAAGATTTTATGAGGTCAAATCTGTTAATCTTTTTCCTTGTGGATTTTAGATTTTGTTGTTTGCTTCCTAAGCTTCCTAAGACCTTCTCTACCCCAGGCGTATCAATCAGCATGCCTTTGGTTGCAGTTCACAGAAAACTCTGTCTCAATTGCTTTAAACAATAAGGAAAAGGTATTACTTCCTATATCAAAAGTTCTGAGTTAGGCCAACTCTGGAGTTGGTTAACTTGGTGGTTAATATCATTAACAACACTAGCTATTTTGTCTCTTTCTAATCTTCATCTTCAGCAAGTTGACTTGGTTAGCTCCTCTCATGGGAACTAACAGAGTGGCTGCTCCAGTTCAGGGCATGCTGGCCAGATACACAATATGCAGCATAGTGTCTCACTTTGAGAGCCCTCTCCAACCTTTCCTCCACACCTCAGCAGATTTCCCCTCATGTCTCATTGACTACAATTATATCACATGATCATGCCTAAACCAGTCACTAGCAAGAATGAAATTGCTATGAATGGCTAGACTACTCAGGGTTTACCTCTGAAACACATGGAAGATTGAGTAACTGAACACGATTAGGATTCTGCCAACCAAGAGAAATGATCATTTGAGGGCAACCAGTAGTGTCTGACAGACCAAAATTATAAAGATATCTTTCTAAATATTCTTCTAATAGTATATGTGTGTGTGTGTGTATATGTATAATTTCTAGCCTTTTATTCTGTCTAGAGTTTATATCTGTGTCTTGTGAGGTGAGGCTCCAACTCAGTTTCTTTCCCTCAAAAAGTTAGTTTAATATCCAAACATCATAATTTTTCTACCAATTAAAAATTCTGCCTTTATCCTAAACCAGCTTCACCTATTTACATAGATGTGTTTAAGGACTATCTAGTCCACTGTCATATTGATCTAGTCCTGCCCTGTTTTAATTACTATATTTAATTATTAAATTATGATGTAGTAGGACAAGTGCTTCCTCATTGTTTTTTTCTAGACTATTTTTGGATACTCTTATAGATTTAATCTTCTATAAGAACCTTATAATTAGTTTGTCAATTTCTATTTTTAAAATTGTATTACCATTTTTGTTGTGATTACATTATACTAATTTTGAAAGAAATTTTATCTTTATAAAAATTGTGTTTCCTCATCCAGGAATATAGTATGTATTTCCATTTGTTGAGGTCTTCTCTTATGTCTTCCAGTAAAAGTTTATATCAGTTGACTCTGGTCTTGGAGTTTCCACAAACTGACGCTAACTGTGACAGATTCTCCTGCACATGTTTTAGGGTGTAGTTTCCTCCAGTTTTATTTCTCTATGGATATTCTCTGTGGATATTTCTCTCTGTTTTATACTTTCCTAGGTACGTCCTGTTCTCTTTATTTTATTTTTTCTTGTTTTCCTGTGTTGTTATGCATTTATTCTTTTATAGAGAGAAATAGATGCAGATATAAATATGTATATATAGATATGGATGTGTCCCACAATGGACACATTGTGGCAATGGACATAGATAAAGACAGACAGTTATCTTTTCTGTAACCGTGAGATTTTAGGTGGAAAATAAGGTAAACTTCTGTGCTCAATCTGCCATCTTGATTGATTGGCATTTGTTTATATTAATTGATGAATTGATTACCTAGAAGTTTCAAGGTATAATGTTTATTTCTTAGATAGATATTGAGGCTCTTCTCAGTTTTGCCCCAAGGTGCTTTATGAAATGTATTTTGGAAGGCAAGACAGTAATACACAAAAAGTTGTACACTTGTGCTTCTGCTGCACACACCTAGACCTGCAGATGCATTGGAGTGATGGTAACAGGTGGATGAAATGTACCAAAAAAGCTATTTTCTTTGTTGTAGCTTAAAGCACTGACAGATGCTACCAAATTAGCAAACGAAAATTTGGAAATAAACCAGCTGACCAGAAAGTCTTTACAAGATTATTATTGGCAGATAAGGTACGTTTTGGGCCATTCATGTATTTATCAAGCGTTTATTAAGTAACTTCTATAGACAGAGTTCTGCACTTGCTATGGAAGATATAAAATAAGAAAATGACAAGATCCCTACTCTTTATGCAATTACAGAAATAGTTCCAACCTTTGTTAATACCCATTTTTGTGTGAAAATATTTCATAGAAGTGTCACATGAAAGTAGTTGTAGTTTTAATATCCATTGATTTTTTTAAAAAGTGTTGATTAAAAAATATGAGTTTACTAATAGTTTTGAAGACTTGGATTTATTAATCTCAACTGTATATATTTGAGAATTAGTCTACAAGTACATATGTGCAAGATTTGTTATTAATTTAGTCTAAAGACAGTACTCAAAGAGCATATAGATTTAAGGACCTCTGTGAAAAAACGTAGTCTACAAGTTGGGAACCATTGCCTTATAGACTAGTCAGGAAGAGAAGTTAGGAAAGTATGAAATAACTGGAAAAATAATTCCAAGATAAAACATAATTATGTGTCAAGGAATCTCCAAAAGTAGGAAAGCTCACTGAGAGGTGCTTATTGGATAGAAAGTTCAACTATGCACAAAGATATAACAATTGTCTGTATATGAGAGTGATTTGATAGTTGAAGAATTTCCCTGACTCCCTACCCATTGACGTGACGTAGTTCCACAAACTCTTAACCACTAGAGGCAACAGTTGATTTAAATAATTGGTCTCCTAGAATAACCTAGTTAAGTGCAAACAATATTACTTGAGAAAGTTGACATATGCCTTGCACAAGGCCTGGCACATAATTGAGTACTCAATAAATATTAGTTGAATGAAGAATAAATAGAAGCCATCAGTATTTACAAAACAGTAAATTAGTACTATTTATAAAATTAACTAAAATTTAAGCCAAAGAACAGTCATTGGCGTAATGAACATGGAGCAAGTAAACTTTAATGCGAGAAAAAGAAAAGTAGGCTTTAGATGGGGTCCAATGGTGGTGAATAGGGTCTACTACTATGTGAGTGTGTGTGTGGGAAGGTCACTGAAGAGGTCATTGCTTTTATTAAAGCAGAAAAAAGCAATGTAGTAGATTTCCATTCCGGAAAATTTGGGGAGTGGTGTTGAAATGCTGCAAAGGGTAGTTTGTGGACATTTGGAAAACAATATTTCTATTAGAAAAGATGTGCACCTGAAATACAATTAACTAAGAATGGCACGTAGTCATTAACTTTTAATGACTGTCTACTACGTATCTAGTTCCCACAATCACCTGGCACCCAGGAAAGAAATCTGAAAGTTATTCATGGCCCCTCTCTTTACCTCTCCTTTCATCCCTCACATCCAGCCATAACCATTCCCACTGATTCTGTTTTATTTCAGGTGTAAATAGTCTCCTAAAATACCTCTCTTTAAACCAAGCTCCATATTGAAACCAGAGTGATTTTTCTAAATAAATAAAACCACATTAATGGCTTCCTATTACCTTCAGATAAAATTCAATAGCTTTAGTATGATCTATAAGGCCCTGCATAACCTGACTTCTGCTTACCTCTCCAGCCTCATGTTAGGGGCTCTCTGCCTTGGAACTTTATAGTCCAGAGGCCTAAAGGGGCTGTGCTCTCTAATATCTGTATATCTTTGTTTTAATGCCTCTTGTTTCTACAGGTTATTTTATTGTTTTCTGCCTAACACTTAGTAAACATATACATTTTATTTAATTTCATGTTACTTTCTCAGGGAGGCTCTTACTTGCCCATTAGATTAAATTCTCTTTCTTTGTATACTCACATAGCACTTACCTATTTCCCCTTTGATAATACTCATCACATTTGTAATTATTAGTTACCAGCACCTAAAATACTTCCTCCAACATAATAGATATCTGTTATGTATTTATTGATTTGAGTCAAGCATCACATACTCTATGAAGTCTTTCCCTACTATTGTCTACTGTTCTCTTATTTATGCCCACACTCTAGCTTACATGGACTTCTATCATAACACCTATAACATTTTGTTACATTGATTAATTTACATGTGTGTAAGCTTCTTGATTCTAGAGAGCATATGTTTTTTAACTTTTTGTCCTCTCTTAACCAGCGCAGTGCCTGGCATGTAATAAGCACCCACTGAATACTTACTAAATAAATAAATGGCTATAGGCTTCTATTTCTAGCAGTATGGTGGACTAGATTCCCTGAATGACCCTTCTAGTGAAAACAACTAAAAATGTCTGATAAAACAGAAATATTATCTTTAGAGACATATTGCTGAAATGGCAAGAAGGTAAGGAATCTGCAAAAGCCCAAAACAAAGGGAAAGGAGAAATCCTAAAAATTAGAGCTTTTACATTGAGGATATTTGTTAAGCACTAGTAACATGGAGCTAACATTCAGATGGCTTCATGGAGTGCCAGAGACAGAAGATAAAGCCAAGTTCAACTTAATTGGAAAGTGTAATAGGAGATCACTGTATAATGGGTGTTAAGCCTCGTGAAAGGGAGAATGTAAAGGGGATGACAAAGAAGCTTGTCTTTGCCCTTGACACTAGGCAGGAGGGGAAAAATACTCCTTTGAAAAGTCATAATCACAAGCCAGCATTCATGCAAATTTATGACCTGAATTTATGCTACTTATGTATTCTAAAATCTCAGGTTTAGAATTTACTTAAAATAGCCCCAGATTGGTAGTGACACCAGAGAATTGGCAAAGCCGGTAAATATTCTTTCTGGAACAGCGCAACTTTAACCCTAGCTCAGAGATTTTCCACAGATGTGAAATTCTAAAGAACATGAGCTTACAGACAAAAATGAGTCAGGAAAGATTGAGGAGCAAAGAAAGTGGTAAATATGTGGGTAATTCTTAATGAACAATGATGTAATGATGTCTTCTGGGGTATAAAAATATAGAGAGACTTAAAATATAAAGCTTCTAGAGTGGAGTAAAGAATGGAGGAGGGTAAATGTAGTTAAAGATACCTGCACTGACTAAGAGGAGAGTAAAGGTAAAGCTTAATATTAGACTTGGATAAATCAAGGACTTAGATTTTAACTTAGAACCTCTAAAGGCAGAGAATAAAATGATATAGTTTCCAAATCAAAAGAAGAGGAAAATGGGATAATAAAAAAATACTCAACCAATCCAAAAGAAGGCAAGAAAAGAGAGAAAAAGAAACATAGAAACAAATGAGACAAGTAGAAAGCATGAAAGAAAATGGTGGAGTTAAACCTAAATATATCTAAATGGGTTAAGTGTTCCATTTTTATCTAGATTGATAGACTGGATTAAAATTAATAAAACAAAATCCAATTATATGTTATTTACAAGAGACTTCTCTAGAACCTAAGGGTATCGAAAATTAAAGAACAAAAATATTGGAAAAAATATACCACACAAAAAATAACAAAGCTGGCATAGCTATGTTAATATAAGATAAAGTGAATCTTTAAGGTAAAAAGCTTTACTAGAGATAAAGAGGGCCACATCAAAATGATGTGGTTTAATTCACATATATTCATCTATACACACACACACACATATATGCATATAATGTGGCTTCAAAATATATGAAGCAAAATTTGACAGAAATACCAGAAGAAATATCAAATTCACAAATATATTGGGCGATTTTAACACATTTTTCTCAGTAATTGATGGAACAAGTAAACCAAACAAATCTCAGTAAAGACATAGAAGATTTGAACAACCTGATTAATAAACTTGACTTTAGAGATATATTTATAGAACATTGCACCCAACAACTGCAAAATACCACTGTCTTCAAGAACACATGGAACATTTACAAGAGTTGACCTTATGTTATCTCAGTAAATCTCAAAGTCTCAATACAGTCAAAGGATTTAAATCATTCAGTGCAGAAACCCAATACAAAAAATATAGCTAGGAAATCTCCGTATGTTTGGAAATTAGGAAATACGTGTTTAATAATCTATATGTCAGAGAAAACATATTGATAATTAGAAAATATTTTGAATTTACTGATAAAAAATTAATGTGTATCAATATTTGTGAGATACAGCTAACATAGTTCTTAGAGGAAAATTTGTTCATTTAAATTCATATAGTAGAGAAAAAGAGAGGTTGAAAATTAATGAGCTAAGCATCTTTTTTAAGAAGTTAGGAAAAAGGATAGAAGGAATGAAATAAAGAGAACAGAAATTAATAAGAAAGCTATGATAGAATCAATAAACCCAAACATTTGATAAAATTTGATAAACTCTGACAAGGCTGATCCAGAAAAAAAAGAAAGAGCACAAATATACCATATACAATATCAAGAAAGAAAAGGGAACATTACTACAGATGCTGTATACTTTAAACAACTTTATGCCAAACAATGTAAACATTTACATGTAAAGGACAATTCTCGGGGCCAGCCAGTGGTGTAGTGGTTAAGTTTGGCACTCTCCACTTTGGCAGCCTGGGTTTGCAGGTTCAGATGCAGGGCCCAGACCTACACCACTCATCAAGTCATTCTGTGGCAGTGAACCACATACAAAATAGAGGAAGATGGGCACAGATGTTAGCTCAGGGCCAATCTTCCTCAAGCAAAAAGAGGAAGATTGGCAACAGGTGTTAGCTCGAGGCCAACTTCCTTGCCAAAAAATTCTCTACAAAAATACAACTAACCAGAATATATCCAAGAAGTGGCAAGAAGAAGAAAAAAAACCCTAAATAGTCAATAATTGTTAAAGAAACCAAACCAGTAATTTGAAACCTTTCCACAAAGAAAACTCCAGGCTCAGATGACTAAATTAGAATACTAACATTTAAAGCAGTGATTCTCAAAGCGTGGTCCCCAGAGCAGTGGCGTCAGCTTCACCTGGAAACCTGTTAGAAATGCAGATTATCAGGTCCACCTCAGACCTACTGAATCAGAAACTCTGGGGGTGGGGCCTGGCAGTCTGTGTTTAACAAGCCCTCCAGGTGATTCTGATGCGTGATCAAGTTTGAGAACCTCTGACTTAAAGATAACTTCTGTTTTTCACAAACTCTTTCAAAGAATAGAAAAAGAGGCCACATTCTCAACTCAGTTTATAAGGTTATCTTATCCTTAAAATTAAGACCTGACAACTATACAAAAAATATTGCAACCCAATTTCATTCATGAACACAGATAAAAATATGCTGAACAGGGGCTGGCCCGGTGGCGTAGTAGTTAAATTTGCATGTTCCGCTTCGGCGGCCTGAGGTTCGCAGGTTCAGATCCTGGGTGCAGACCCAATCACCGCTCATCAAGCTGTGCTGAGGCAGCATCCCACACAGAAGAGCTACAACTCTACAACTATGATACACAACTATGTACTGGGGCTTTGGGGAGAAAAAAGAAAAAAAAAGAGGAAGATTGGCAACAGATGTTAGCTCAGGGCCAATCTTCACACACACACAAAAAGACATGGGTTTTCTTAAAAAAAAAATATGCTAAACAGAATTTTATCAAATAATATAGCTAAATTGAGATCATTGCGGGAATACTAGGATGATTTAACATTAGAAAATCAATCAGTGTAATTTGTCACACTAATAATGTGTTTGCAAAGTCATGAAACACAATAAGCATCTTTTTAAACAGTCTGTTACTTCAAGATCCAAATAATATGCTCACTACCCCATTGGGTAAAGTATTTCTAAATTTGAAGCAATGGTTCTAATTGTTAACCTGAAAAAAGTATAATAAGTGCACTACAGAATGTCCAGAAAATCTAGAAAAACGTAGATTTTAGCAGAGCACTTTTGAATAGTGAAAAATCTTTAAGTCATAAAGGAATGAATCTCTAAATGGAATTTCAGTCTCTATATCAAGATGTGGGTAAAATGAAAAAAATATCATAAGATGGGGAGTTTCCAGAAGATTTAGTGCAATACATTCTTCCAGGCCATTTTTAATGACTTGTAGTTCTAATCCATTAACATATTTTTGATCTACCATTATTGTTGTAGTAATACAAAACAGCTCTATGACTTAGAAAGGGAAAAGGACTTCTCCCTACTACACAGTATATTACGGACTTGGAAACAGATAAAATCCCTTCGACAGCGGCAAGGGTTTACAAGCACCCCAATAAAGTTACAGTTTCAGAGGTGAGTGGCTCTTTGTTTGTTCTTATAGGTTTCCTAAGGAACTGCCCATGAATAACTGAGAACTCACAGTAACTGGGAGAAAATCCAGAAGCTAGACAATTATTTGATGTAGTCAAGAAAGGACTTGTATCTTGAATATATAAGCAATTCTTACAACTTAATAAGACAACTCAATTAAAAAATGGGCAAAAGATTTGAACAGACACTTCACTAAAAAAGAATGGCAGGGCCGGCCCCGTGGCTTAGCGGTTAAGTGCGCACGCTCCGGTGCTGGCAGCCCGGGTTCGGATCCCTGGCGCGCACCGACACACTGCTTCTCTGGCCGTGCTGGGGCCGCGTCCCACATGCAGCAACTAGAAGGATGTGCACCTATGATGTACAGCTATCTACTGGGGCTTTGGGGGAGGAAAAATAAATAAATAAAATTAAAAAAAAAAGAAGAATGGCAGATGAATACATGAAAAGATGCTCAACATCATGTCATGTCAATGGAGAAATGTAAATTAAAACCACGATGGGATATACTGCACACCTGTTAGAATGACTAAAATCCAAAACAAGAAAAGAAAAGAAAAAGACAATAACAAATGCTGGCAAGGATTCTGAGCAACAAGAAATCTCATTGATTACTGGTGGGAATGCAAAATGGTACAGCCACTTTAGAAACAGTTAGGCACTTTCTTATTAAGTTAAACATAGACCCAGCAATGATACTCCTAGGTAAAACATGTAAGTCATAAAAACATGTCTAGTGGAGGAGATAGTTAGAATTAAAAACTATACTTGTTAATCACTTAAGCTGTTTGTGAACTCACAGTGAAATAACTGGTTCCCTCCCCACAACCCATTGTCCTGGGTCTTTGTTTTTCAAAACTATAAAAGGTTAGTGCAATTTCAGGCAATTAAGAAAGATAGTTAACTTTGTTGATTTTTTTTTTTTCGTGCTGCAGTGGTTTAGAAAGCGCTTCTGATAGTTTCTAAACCTAACCCAGGGCAGAACTTTATCTTAGACTCCTGACTTCATGTAAACTTGCTATCTTGCCTTTAATCCTTTAAACCAATCAATACACCCATGCATTAAGAACCCCTCCTCAGAAAAGGAGAGCCACAGATGGTAAGCTTGTTCAGAACAGTAGCTCTGGGCCAATATTACCTGCTCACCACCTACTCTTATTCTCACTGCTCTAAACTCTGATCCCACATGAAGCCCTTTGCATTTGTTCTTCCTTACATTTAACATTCAGCTTTCCCAGTGGACCTTGGCTTGGGTTTGTGTCTCCAGATTGCTTCTGGTAGGAGACTTCTGAACTAAATCCCACAGCGCCAGTGATGAGGTTGGCCCCAGCAGGGCTAGCCCCAGCTACCTTAAACTGGGGCATTTAGTTTGAGCATCATTTTGATCAACTAGAAAAGCTGTATGTTGAAGATGCTTCTGGGAACTCGGTTTCCTGGCCAAGTTAACCACTAGTGACTTCAGCACAGGCCTGTACTACACGAACGACAGTACTTATGACAAGAAAGCCTGGGACCTAAACACTGAGCTCAGGTTATCTTTTCTTCATATATTTTGTTTTGGGCATATTGAATTTGATAAGCCTTTGAGATATCCCTAAATAAAGCAATTGAATGGGCAGCTGGATGTATGATTTGTGCTGGAAAGAAAAATGTGGCCGTCTATGACATAGTAATAGTAATTAAAGCCACACATGTGTATGAAACTGCTGAGGGTAGAGAATGAGATGAGAAGAGGACCAAGGACTAAGTCTTGAGAAACTGCTTTGAATGTCTTAGCGTAGAGGAGGAGAAACCAGAGGAGGGACTGAGAAGCATCAGTTAGAGTGTTTTGCCACAGAGGCAAAGCAAAGGGAGTATTTTAAGTAGGAGGGAGTGGTTAACAGTGTTTAATGCTTCTGAAATACCAGTTACGTCCAGGACTAAAAATATTTATTGGATTTCCTCACATGGAGGTTATTGATCTCAGCTAGAGCAAGTTTTATGAAGTGATCATGGCAGAATGAGATAGCAGGAAGTTGAGAATATAGCCCTGTCTTCTTATTCAGGCAATCAACTCTCCTTGTCAAATGTTAGCAACACTGCATTAAACTTAGAGAAACTGGCTGGGCAAATAGGTACAGACCTTGTTCTTTTTTGGCTACTGAATCCGTACCCCAGCACTGGTAAATAGCAGAGAACCCAGATTCCTATATATTTTCTTTACCTATGTTCTCTTGTTAGGTGCCTACCTACCTGGAGGGGATCCAGATAACCATCAAATGGGTTTTTAAAAACATAAAGTTAAGTGCAAGTTATACAAGCAGGAAAATCCACAACATTTAGTATAATAACATCAGGGCCTTCGTCATTTCCCAGAGCTACTGTATAGAAAGGAGGAAGCTATGGACCTAAGATCACTGTCTCAATAATCTCCCCCAAAGGGGGTTCTGGGTATTGAGGCGCCTATTCTCTAAGTTACTGTACATTGGAATCATCTGGAATGACCTGGAATCACCTGGAATCACCCTTAAAACCATTATTCTTATTTAATTGGTATCAGGTATGGGCAACAAGAGCTTTAAAAATCTCCCCAGATGATTTTAATATGTGACAGAGTTTGAGAGCCATTATATTAAAGAACAACAAGTTAACTGATGTTCATATTGATTACCCTGAATCAGAGGAAGACAATAATAATGTTTATTGAGTGTTTGTTATACTCCAGGCACTGGCCTGAGCACCTTACATGAATTAGTGCATTTAATCCTCCTAACAACTCAATTTTCAGGTAAGAAAAGTAAGGCATAGAGTACTTATGTAACTTGCCCAAATTCCATAGTGCCAGTAATGGGTCTGAGTTTTCAACACAGGTAGTCTGGTCTCAAGCGCATAAGGTATGTAATGTCTACACTAGGTTACCTGTATTTTATTTCAGAAGGCAAAAAACATATGATATTTTTTAAACAGTTTTAACACATACCATACAGTTCACCCATTTAAAGTGTACAGTTCAATGATTTTTAGTATATTCACAGAGTTGTGCAACCATCACCACAATTTAACATTTTATAACATTTTAGTCATCACCCCTCAATAGAAACTATCTTCCTTTTAGCAGTCACTTCTCACATGTGTGGACATATGTTTTTATTTCTCTTGGGTATATACCTAGGAATGGAATTGCTGGGTCAAATGGTAATTCTATGCTTAACATTTTAGAGGAACTGCCAGACTATTTTCCAAAGCAGCCGCACCATTTTATATTCCCAGCAAAGCATATAATATTGTATCAAAGAATCTCCTTTTTAAAAGATTAAAATTAAAAAACAAAACTTGTACTGAAAAGAATAAAGCCCTGAGCTATCAGGGAAAGTCAACTCCTAGGCCAATTATTTTCTGAAAGTGTTCTAAGTAACTGGATTTTGCTGGACTACTAACAAAAGAGGAGTAATAGTAATACCTATTTCATAGGGTTGTTGCGAGTATTAAATGAGTTGATATATGTACTTAGAACATTGCCTGGCATGTACTTAGTAAGTACTATATAAGAGTCAGCTAGTAGCTAGTAGTAGTAGTAGTAATATCCTGAACTGCTTACTGTTTATGCATGAACACCAAGGAGTATAATGGGGATTTACCACTTAATATCACTATGGTCACCTGCCCTTATACATGCTTATGTTCTCACAGCATAAAAAACATGAGAGGAAGAAAAATTAGAGGAAACATGGTGTGTGTCCTTAATTTTGTATCTCTCATCCCCCTGGGTTACTTATTCTCACCAGAGAAAAGGTTTCTTGATGCCCTTCAAAAGGGCTGTAAACACTAATGGTAAATTTACTGGGTAGGGAGAAATCTGTGAAAACTGAAAACAAACTTAGGAAGTTTTTTTTATATATATGTAATTTTATCATATTGATAGTTTCCTTGAGATGTAAAATTATTTGTTGTAAGAAATTTGTGCCTGTGTGTGTGTGTATGTGTTGGCAAGACCTCTATTAATTCTCAAATACTTCCATTATTTCTGCTTTAAATAATTCTGTTTATTATTAATTAGGGTAAAAATGAATAAATGTGATGAAGAAAAACAAGAACTGTCAGAAATGTCTGAGACTGAAATGAAAACGGAAAGAAAAGCATTTAAGAATGGGGAAAAACAGAAGGTATTTTATATTGCAAAATAACATGCAACTTACCTTAACTAGTTATTATATTTAATTGTTTGGTAGAATAGGAAATCTTGGTATTCATAACAGTTGCCCAACAAAATGACAAATATAAGACATAAGAGTTTAATTTTGAGGATAATTGTCTTAAGAAATGAACTTAAATTGTAAATTATATACTTATTTTTTTGGTTTCTAGAGCCTCTCATGTTTAGCTTCAGAAGTTGAAGAAACAGATATTGAAAGAATAAAGCCAATTACCTTGATGCCGCAACTTTCTTTCACTGTAGAATTAACAAACTTATCAAAGTGTTCACTGTAAGCATTTTTAAAGGATTATTTCTTCGTTATATGTTGCCTATTAATTGTATTGTTTTTAATAATAATGTTAGATTTCTTGAGTGAGTACCATATGCCAGGCACTTTGTGAAGTTTTTTTTATGCGTTTGCACATTTAGTTGCCACCATAACTCTATGGTATTATCTTCAGACTTAGAGATGGGGGTTTTATACTTATGGAAGGTTAAGTTGCCCAGGGTCACACTTTAATTCATGACTAAGGTGGGACATAAACCAGTTTGGTTTGATGATTGTTTTTTCTTTTGCTATGGTAGTAATTTTTGTTCCGGTGTAGATAGGTGGGATATAAAGCCACTGTAAAAAGTAAGATAATATGCTCACCCTTGCTTGTTAAGGGACCCCCTTGCTTTCGTAAAAAGTATTCTGTATCTAGAGGGTACTCTGGGCAGTTTTCTTCTTTGACACAAATTTCTTTCCTTCCCGGTTGTGACTTCTTCCTTGAGCTACAATGTTTTCTCCCTACTCCCAGGACATTCATGC